GTGATAAGGCTATGAGAAATATGCTTTGCAATGATATATATCGCACTCCCCCACCCTCGTAAACTGACATGTTGACAAGCTAGGAGCCACAAAACATGCTAGTGTCAGTGGATCAGGCATTCCTCCTGTCATTACTAACAGCACTTCACTGGTAAATCTGGCTCAGGTTTCATGCTGAGACTTGCTTTCCAGGAAGAGGATGCTATATGACAAATAGGATGGAGCCAGGCCACCCATGATAACACAAAGTGAGGACAGCAGGTGCATTTGGTACCCCCAGGCACTTGTCAGCTCCAAGTCATGGACTGTGCAGGAGAGCGTAATTGCAAAATAAATTGCACCTTCAGCTGTGGGGCTGAACATGTCAAGGTCTTAAGGGTACTCCTGAACCTTATTACTTGTAGAGTAGCAACAGAATGCCTCATCTGCCCAAGAAGCATCACCTTCAGAGGTGAAGGGGAACCAATGTCTTGGTTGATTATTAGTTTTCTAACCAACAGCTGCATAGCATAGCTGATCCCCTTGTTGTGAATTAAGATATACAGGGGACTGGAGTACAGTCCCAGCATTTTCACATGCTCTTGCGTTTTTGGTTTCCTATCCCTTTCTTTGCCACTGTCAAACTGCTGAATCACAGTTACAGATCCAATACCCAAAATGTCTGGCTTGGTTATCTCTTCTTTTCAGTGTCTTTTTATTGGCCAACTCCATGGTCAGAAAAGTTCACAACAAAGATGTATGGACTTGCATATATTAACTAAATCTTTTTGTGGTGTAATCAGCGTATCTGCCACCAGAATGGCAATTCCAACAGCAAATTCGTGAGTAAATCAGGATTATTAGTGAATTCAGGAGCGTTTTGGCCCATCAGCAGAAATCTTCACACTGTTGCTACCGCTAAAAATAGATAAAGAATAATCACGTCCAGTTATTAACAATTAGTTCTAGCACAGAATCATAAATCATTATTACCCCTTCTTCCTCAGACAAATCACAGTAGCAAAGCTTTGTTATGGCCTATTCATAGGTAGTTTAAACTGTATCACTACTATTAGAGTATATTCAGGACGGTAAAAGTGCCATCCACAGTGTCCTGGGAAAACAAAAGGGCTCAGGAGTTGCTAGCATGCTTCCACTGGCAATGCAGGCAGGATCACAAGAAAATCAAAATCTCAAGACCAAATTCCTTTTGATACTTGTGCAATTTGGAAGAGAAAATATTATGTGAGCCTAAGAGGAATTTCTTTTAATGCACCATCCAGAAGATTTGTTTCACCTGACAGCCATTCACAAGTTTCCTACTGGCTAAATATTTTGCAGACAGAGTTAAATAGACAGAGGTTTCAAATGCATTCGGTTTCAGCCTATGTAGCCTGGGAAAGGAATTTTCCACTTTGTACTGCTGAGAAAAATGTAGACGCTGTAGGCTATGGTATCATGTTCAGAGGAACAAGGTGGGTAGGATAGGGCATTAGGCACTATTATACCCTAGGGAAGAAAGAGCAGACAGGGGCACAATGGCAGTGCTTCATTTTATTTTAAATGGGAATAATTCCAAGGATAGGAAAGCCTGTGGTTCTTGTAAAGGATTAAACAGGGTAACGTGCTTTTTAAGAAGACATAAAGAGGTATGTAATGTGATATGTTTAAGCCTAAATGATTTTTCTTGGAGTCCTCAAAGAATGTTTAAGCAGGCATGACTTAGGCCTCTGTAAATCCTCTCCAAATAAATAACTTCCACAAAAAATAGAGATTTCTTTGACAGAATTAGATGCATATTTCATAACCTATGCAAAAAAAAGAAAATCAGTTTGGGATACATGTAACACTTAGGAATAATAAAGAGAAAAGGAAGATAAAAGTGAATATTCTCAGAATAATCCAAGCGTATATAGGAGTACAGCTACCTCCCCATCCATTTTTGATTTAACAGAGCAGGAAGACAAACAACTGAATGCTTCCCTACCTTCAATTCAGGTCTTCAACTACTTTTTGCTGCCTTTTGAGAAGAGACAATAAGTGGCAGAAAATATCTAAAGCGCCTGAGCTTTTCAGGCTGTCTCCTATCTGAGGTATTTAAAACTCTGCTCTCTCTCAGGGTAAATCTACCCAGCTGCTCTCTAACCAGACCTGAAGGTGTATATAGCTGTTCACTATGGATGGAATAGGAGAGCACAGCTATACCTATGCACCTCATTTTTGAGAAGAACAGGACCAATAAATACCAAAACCTGAAAACTTACAACGGCATGATCTCCCGTTCTCCTTTCTCATCTGCCCTGTCCTCCTGCCAGGAAAAGCATGTCAAAGTGGTAGATTAGCTGATGCAAAATGGGACTATGCAATCATTGTCATTTGGCTGTATTGTATTTTCACTCGCACAGGTGCTGTTCCCCATGAAGTCACTGGTATAGCAAGCGTGCAGTCCTGCCAAGTGAGCAGGATGATGCAATGAGTAAATCAGCGGTTGATCCCCCTCTCCTTCCCTCTGTTTATATACACATTAGTATTAAACTTCTACTTTCCTCAAAATAAAAAGACTGTCAGCTCCACTGTAATTTGCAGAATAAAAGCCAGACAAAATTAAAGGACGTGTAAGATTTAACAAAAATGATTGGTAAAGCCTCTTCTGCAATGACTACTTGCAAAACTCATTTAACCTTGGAGACGGTGCAGCAGGGAGTGCTGTTAAAGAGCATGTCCACGACATCCATAACAGCCTTCAGTCACACCTCTCTCCCATGGTCGTCCCTCCTGTCACTGTTCCTTCATGGTCATTACACAGCCTACTGGAAATCCCTTTCTCTGTAACAATTTGGAAGCACTCATTAAGTCTCAGCCCTCACTGGGCACTCCAGGAACGTGTGTCGAGGTAACGGCCTCGGAGAGCTTGCACAAACTGCTACTCAGCCACACTTTAGCGCTGATTAATGGTAGAAACAAAATGAAGCACCGAGGGAGACCTGTTAGCTTAGCTTGTCCAGGGATATCATCTGGTGAAGTTAATAGCTCTGATGTGGCCAGTTAAATTCCGTCAAGACCCTGAAGAACATTACCAAGTATATAAATAGGTCGAGGGGGACCAGTGAATTCTTTCCTCTGAACTATTTTTTGGAAGTCTTTTACAGAGATTATAATCTCTACCTCTTATCAGTTATCTTTTTAAATATTAATTTTCCTTGCCAAAGACTAGATTTTATTAACACATTTTTCATCCAGCTTTTTTCCTGAGCAGGCCAAATACAATCTCTCAAAAGCTTCTGTGTGAACAGCAACTGGTGAATAATCTGTTTCTGTGTCATGTCTTCCTGTCAGGTGAAAGAAGGGGAGAAACTGCACACACATAAGTGGGTGTGTATGTTCAGCAGAATCAGGGCTAAGCCTTTTGATATTTTAAATTTGCAGGGCGGCTGGCTCACATGCTGCAACTTGGTTTTTGAACACTATAATTTGAAAGTGCTTGTTCCTGGGAAGCAGAGGCATTGGAAATTAAAGAACCCAGATCTTTCTGGGTTTATAGGTTTTAAGACAGCAACTGCCATTTTTCCAGGAATGAGAAATCAAAGACTGTAATCTGGAATTACCTGCTAGCATGACACACTGGTGGTTTTTTTCAGCTAAAAGCCATTAGTCAACACAGCTGTGTTTGATTTGCTCTGGTTTTTGAGTCTTCTGAAACCTTTAGTATAACTTGGGAAGGCAAACCAGAAGAAGGGCAGCTGTGTTTTCACAGAAAAGGCAAAACCCAGCTTTATCATCCCCTTAAAAGCTGAGCTAAAATATGTTTTCTCAAAAAAAGCAATTTCCTCTAGCCACTAAATCTTCAGACTGTCTTTTTTCTTGCCTTTTCAGCTTATGACTTTTTCTAAAGGGGTTTCAAAAGTGCAGTTCCCCAGGGCCTCTCTTGCCTCTTCTTTCATGCAGTTTAGTCCTTCAGAGGGGAAAAAATGATCTCAGTTATACAGAGGGTGGATTAGTGATTTTTAAAACTCCAGAGAATATTTGTTATTTTGTGGTTCTTTTATTATCAAGAGCTCACCAGTGATTTCATCATTCTTTTTAACATGCTCTTTCTCTTATATTTTTCTATCCAGTGTGAAAACACCAGAAATTACCGGTTTCTCTGGCAAATGGATTCTGGTGGAGACAAAAGGCAGAGTTTGTCTGCATTTTTAGAAGTTTCTAAACCAAGCTTAAAACAAGTGAACACACAACCTCATAGATATTTTCTCTAATTAATATTCACATTTTGAAGTTTAAAATAAAACACAATATTTCTCAGATTTGACTTAAGACTCTGAATACGAAGATATAATGGTAGGTATAAAGTTTGTACGTAGTCACTCATTAACCCATATTCACTCTCACAGCGAAACCTTTCATGTACTACTGTTCCTATAAAAGCTGTAGCTGTCAACCAAAAACATGGGAGGGAACTATTGCATTCACAAATGTACGTACAGAAACTGACTCCTTCTCTCAAAGTATTTTCCCCACTACTAAACTCCCTACAGAGGGTGGCTGTGAGACTCGCTAAAGTCAGATCATCTTTTTCTGCCTGCCTCTCTCAAAATATACATGATTTAGAGCTATAACTGAAAGCCAAGGTTTTCAGTGTCAGGAGTGTACGAAAATAAGTTAATCAATGTCTTGTATTCAAAGTGCTTTACGCTTTTTACAGTACTTTGCCACATCTTCTGGTGCTATAAGTCCAGTGATCCCATTCCCATCTTGCATTCTGACAAATGCGTTCATCTCTCACGCTTATAAATCCTTTTCAGACCAAACACTCTAGCTTTCAAAATGTGATTGAAAACAAGGTATATAGCTGAGAAGTCCCAATTCTCCATGGCGATGCAATGGGCGTGCAGGAATTGGTACCAGGCATGATCATTATCTGTGTGCAAACGCAACCCTGATAGTTAAAGCAACAACTAAGCAAATATGGTGTTACAGCAGAGCATCTCCAATGGGAAGCAAAAAGTAAGTCATACCAGTACCTTTTGAATGCCTGCGGTCGACTCCATGACGTTGTTCTCTGAGCCGTTACTTCTGTTCATCATCCGCCACATTTGGGAATACATGCTGTCCCTCTCAAAAGGATTCATCCCTTTCACTCGGACGTGCTCATAGACTGCAGAGTCCAAGACAGTGCCATAAGGAATATCCGTCTGCCTTGAGAGATCCTGGAGAGACCTTAATTGTTGGTGAAGAAAAGAGACATAGGAGACTTGAAGCCACTCTTTCAAGAGGAAGGAGCTGCAGGCAAGCAAAGGGCAACACATAGGAAGATGGCTGTCAAGCCAGTTTCTTTTTTTTTTTTTTTTTTCTTTTTTCTTAAAAGACATAGTGAGACTGAAAAATTTATGGTTTAAGACACAAGGAGGAATATGAAGTGAAAGGAAGGGGTGGAAAAAATGAAACTGGATGAAAAGAGAACAACGAAAGGAGTAAGAGATGCTGAGAGGAGCTCCGAGCAGAGGCAAAGGAGAGAAGGGAGCATTGCCGTCCCTCCAGGAAGTTCAGCAGAAGTAACCACCTATGACAGCACGGTGCCACCGCACACACTGCTTTTGGGGAGCGGGACTGTCAGCACCAGAACTCACTCAATCTTGCCCAAAGCACCTGGGCTGAGTATTTCTGTGTGCTACTGGGTTACACAGTGAAGAGCAGCTCTTTGGTGGTATTCCTGCGCTGAACTGTGCAGCCATCACACCAAGCAGGTCACATCCTACATTATTTTCAGCAACAGGAAGATTTCTGTTGTGGTTTTGTGAACTGTCTTTTCATCACAGTTCACGTCATTTAGTCCAGTGAATTTGCTCTACTTTATCTAGTCTTATCTGTTCCCTGCAATCAAGAAAAATTAACCAGTTCAGAAGTTTCCAAAGCATCCCAAACATGGCTTATGTCAACCTTGCTTTGGACTTCAAAAGGTATACTAGAACCCTTTGAAGTCTCCTTACCTTTTGGCCTTTATTTTCCTGTCCTACAGAATTGCTCTCTTGCAGCTTTGTTTCTTTAATGGCATTCATTAAAGTTTCAAAATAACTACTGCAATATGTCTAGTGCTTAAAATCCATTACAACTTTCCTGGCACAAAATTAACTTTGTATACACTGCACAAATCTAGTGGATGAAATCTAAGGACAAATCAAGGGTTTGCATGCTGTCTTAAAGTAGGCAATAGCAAGTTATAAAAGCTCATCGCAGCCACAGAAAATGCAAATACAAATGTAGGAAATTCATTAAATTCCAAGTTGTGTTTCTGAAATATTTAAATATAGAGGCAAATGAAAATGGCCCTACAGGAAGGGAAAAAAAGGAATTCTTAGATCTTTCAGGGATGGTAGTGAAGAAAACAGAAACAGGATCTCAAAAGATGTGCATGTCTCTAAACACAAAAGAAAGCAGAAAAAGAAGAAATCAATAGAGCTCAATGGCAAGGGTTTAGAGGTTAGTTGAGTCAGAAAGAAATCCTTTGAAATTCAGACGTATGGGCTTAGAAAAACATTGAACAAGAGCTAAACTCTAAGCAGATAATGCATAGCAAATATGAGGAATAGATAAATTTAATATTGAAGATTAAATAACTAATGGTATTAAAAACCCCACAATCCTCTCCTCTTCTCCAAAAAGATGGCATTTCTCATCAAGAACATTAGCAGCAAGGAACCTGCAAAGAATCAGTACACATATGGGATCATCAAAGGTGAGCTGCCAGATGAAGCTTTTCCTGAAACCAAGTATATTGGTCTTCTATGAGAGGACTAACTGAGACATTCCCTTTTCTAGGAAGAAAAATGTGAAACTCTAACAGACTAAGGTGTCAGGAGAATAAGTACTGCAGCTAATTTGTAATTGAAAAGTAAAAAAGAATAAATTATCAAGTCCAGAAAAACCCCTATGAGTTCTGAAAGATTAAATATGAAATGGCTAAGCTGTTAGCAAGAGAGTGAAACCTCATTATAGCCAGCATGTGAAAGGGAAACAGGAAGTATTTTTAAAAGGCTTTAGTGGTAATCAAGGGAATTACGAAAATTAACAACTAAGATGTTACACTTATGTTTAATAAATAAACTGAAATAACCACTGATAAAATTTTGAAGATCAGTCCTGAAGATTAGATATAAGCACCAAGTGGGTTTCTCCAGGGAAAGCAATTCAAGCATCAATTACACATTGAAATTACTAAAAAATCCCAAGATTTCTAAAGCCCTTCATCTCATCAAACAATATACAGAATGTGGAAGTATGGACAGGCTACAAAGGAGGAATTTAGAAACATTTTCTGGCAACACTGAGTAGCATGAGAAAAGCTAACACTCAGCTAGGGTAGATGCTCTTGAAGAACCTCAAGGGCAACAAGAACAGCTTTTGCAGAAATAAAAGGCTGAAAAAGGAAAGTGCAGACCTAGTGAGGAGGACAGCAGACACAGCTAAGGCTGAGGTGCTCAGAGCCTTCTTTTCCTCACTCTTCCCCAACAAGGTTTCCCAAGTCTCTGTGACTAGATGGAGGGTTCAAGGAAGCAATGAACAACCAGCAGTAGGTGGTCAGGTAGATCCCAACCAGAAAGGCAGGGATTGACTGAGAGCACTAGACCCGTAGAAGTCCATGGGACCTGGCAGGCTGCATGAAAGTGTGCTGAGAGAGCTGGCCAATGTCCTTGCAAGGCGGCTTGCTTTAATTTTTGAAAGATGAAGGAGAAGAGATCACTGACCACTATAGAAAGGACTTGTCCAGACTATATTAAAAACAGAGGAAAAATATGATTCATGGAATTAAGGCTGGTCTTCCAACCTCCTGGAGTGAGTCCTCTCAGAGCACATTTCTGAGCACATGAAGGAAAAGCAGCTGACTGGGATCAGTCAACATCGATTTATCAAAGTTAAGTCATGCCTGACCAATCTTGTTGCCTTCTTCAGTAAAATGCCTTGGTTTGTGGACAAGAACAGAGAAACAGATGTAGTTTACCTTAACTTTAGCAAGGCTTTCAATACTGTGTCCCACAATATTCTTGTATCCAAATCAGGTCATTAGATCTGGCTGGGTGGGAAACCAGGTGGATAAATTCCTGGTTGGATTATCAGACTCACAGGGTAGCTCACCTGGGGGCTGGTAGCAGGCACCACAGAGGTGTAACCTGGGACATGTCTTTACCAATAACCTGGAGGAGGTGAGTAAACACCCTCTTGTCAAGTTTGCAGATGACATGACACTGGGGGACCAGCCAGTTGCTCAAGGACAGGCTGCTGTTCAGGTGGACATAGAAAGTCAGGAGGAATGAACCACCAGGAGTGGTGTGAAATTCAGCAAGGACAAATGCGAAGCCCTGTCCCTGGAGAGGAATAACCCCCTGCGGCAATGCAGGCTGGGCTGCAGCTCAGCAGAAAGGCACTCTGGTAGGCAGCGGTCAGACATGCTGAGAAATTTTCTCTGTGTCAGGCAAAGTGTGTGTAGAAGTAGGTGTACTTCTGTTGCATTGATAATCTATCTATCTGCCAAAAGCATTACTGATGAATGGCACTAGATAAATACAAGACATCATATTCACCCAGCCTCTGTTACTGCTGCTGCTGCTGCCAATCCACTTCTGCATCTCCTGGCAGTGCTCAGAAGTGCAACAAACTGTCACAGGATGCATATTGTAATGTCTTGTAATTGCTGTATTTGCTATACATATTGCTAGAAAATTATACAAAATATATTCACTGAGTCTCTAGTTTCTAGTAACAACACCTAGCAAAATTGCAACCATTACAAGATTCTGTATAGGCATGTAATTTCAAATTCAACAAGCAACAAAGCATTTTTCTGAGATATTATTGTTAACTGATATATAAATGATATGTGTAGCTGCTGCCACAAAACACTACAGTTAGAAACAGCACAAAAGAAAAACAGGTCCTCCGTATATCTTGTGGCTATAAAAGCAACCTTGCTATTTTCAGAAAGGCAAACCAACACAAGACATAAGCTGTTAGTCCAGAAATGTGCTACGATCAGGTATGGGAAGCATACTACAAACAGTCTGAGAAGCAAGCAAGCGTGCCATCACACAGAAAGGCATCACCATCAGGGAAATAACAAGGAAGAGAATTATGTCGATGCCTTAAGGAAGGCATGTTATAGCTGCCAAGTCTGGCATTAACTACAGTCTGGATTCTTTACTGTTTGGTGTGCTATACTAAGACACAGGATGCCTCTCAGCTGCCCTGCTCTGCATCTTTGCACAGTTGTATGTGCTGCTCTATGCTGAGAAACTGATGGTGAGAGGATGAGAGCAAGACAAGTATGAGTGCAAACTGTACAGATGTGTTAAACACTGTTGTCGGCAGTAAACACCAGGCTTTGGTTCACCTGACCCTATGCTGAGGAGCAAGAAAGAAGTTTTGCAGCCTCTGAGGTGTCCCTGGGTGTATGCTGCTGCCTAGGCAAGCTCCAAAAATGGGAAAGACCTGTCACATCAGTGGCTTCATCTCCTCACACGAACTTGTCAAATGGGATCATAATATATATGACCTCCTTCAGAAACTGTTTTTTATAATCTGCGACTCTGCAGACTACTGGAATGGCATGAAGCCGAGGTACAGCAAACCAAAAAGAAAGGACAAACCTTGACAGAACCAATAAAATTATTAAACCATTGAGGTTCCTTCCTTTCTAGAAGAAAATTTTTATAACTACTTTGCCTCCAGCTTGGTTTGTAGGTTACACATTGTTCATTGTTCATTTGTCAATCAGACAAATACATTTAGTGGAGACATAAACCACCAGCCTCACCCACTCTCATCACACAGCTGCCACATCAGATCTCAAAATAAGGAAAAAGTATTTGTCAAACTGATTAATTCCTACGCAGTATTCATTGATGCCCCAAATCTGATACCATTATCCATACTGGATGGGAATTTAATTTTGCAATAGTTTTGCTGATGTCAGATTAAATACCTGCAAAGCAAAGCACACATCTAACATGGGCAAGAGAATTATAATCCCACAGTTAAAAACATTTATCATGTTGAATTTCTAATTCAGAAGCAATAAGGTAATGAATGCTAAAAGTGTTTACAAATAAAAAAGCAGATCTAGCTGAAAAAGTTGTTATAAAATATAATACCTTTAACTGAGCTTGCATATAGAAAAATTCTACTTTTAGGGAAGTGGCCAAGCAGTCAGGTCACAGTTCATCTTG